ACTGCAGATCCGGTTTGCATTTGGGCTTTAGAGAGACTGCTGTGGGCTGGAGCACACACAGCTGTATTGGAACACAAGGGTTTCCTGTGATGTCATTCAACAGACCGTGATTGAGCTTTCTGGGAGTGAAATAGATTCACAGACAAACGCCTTGTCCTCATCCATGTGTGGGGTCTAAGAGAGAGTAGAGCAGGACTTACTGGTGCCTGGGATGAGGGAGGACAGGGATGAGAAGAGGCTAGTTAGTGGGTACAGAGGTACAATTGGGTGGGGGCAGTCATTCAGACTCTCCTTCACACAGTAAGGTGGCACAGTTACCTGTGAACCCAGAAGGGGCGTCCTCACAGAGAAACGATGAATGTTTGAGGTGATGAACAGGTTCATTTCCTCAGCCTGAGCATTATGCAATATCTACATCTGTTAAGGAAACCTACTGTACCATAAATGTGCAGTTATTATATGATAAAGAACCAAACTCCCCCAAGTTCTTTTTCTCAGTGTGCACTCTAAGGCTGATGCTTTTGTGCCTGAGTGCTGTGTTGAGAGGTCAGTGTAGACCCACAGTTTAGCTCACATTGTATGTATTAGACAAATTTGAGTCTTTTGTTAGCATACCACAAATAGATTTTTAAAGACTCAAAAAAAATTGTGGCATTTGCTAACTGAAGAGAGAATCCAAGTGTAGTAACTTTTCATATAGTGAAGAAAAACAAAAACAGAAAGAAAAAAAAAACCAATCTTTTTATTTATAGCAGTTGGTCTTTTTTTTCCACATAAAGTCTGTAGACTAATAAAGACTTCCCATCAACTCATGTAAACCCAGCCAAAGTCACTAGTAGTGACGAAAGCATGCTCTTGGTTAGTAGCTGGTGGCAGGACTCATCACTAGTGCCCTGTTCTCTTTTGCCTTTTGGGTTATGATGGACTTTTCAGACGTTCGAGCCGCAAGAGAACAGATCAACATAGGAGGCCTTGCTTATCCTCCGCTCCCTCTGCATGAAGCCCCTCCTCGGCCACCTTCTGGGTACAGTCAGCCTGCATCTGTCTGCTCCTCCTCAGCATCCTTCAACGGGCCGTTCCCAAGCGGGGTCGTGTCTCCTCAACCCCATAGCAGCTATTACAGCGGCCTGTCCGGCCCCCAGCACCCCTTCTACAACAGGGTACGTGACGGCACCTTTGCTTTAGAGTGATTCTGCAGGGCACCAGGGGTCTCTGCCGTGGGCTCTGGTACCGGTTCGGAACTGTCACTTGGATTAAAATAGGAAAATGTGAGGCTTCAATGTACAGTTGTATGATTTTTTTAAAAAGCAGAGTCTTGGATTTTAGAATGTTCTAGACTTTTTAAGTGTCTGACTATAAGAATATTGGCTTTTACTTATTTTCTTGATAAGAAAGTAAATACTACGAGTTCAGCAATAGCCACCCTGGATTTTAAAGGGATCTGTTTGTCTTTTTGTTTATAAACAAAGGTTCTTTTGGTATATTTTGTGTAGGAATTTATAAGCATTTATAATAGTGATAAATTCCTAGAGTCATTCATAGTTTTTAGACATATGTGAGATAATAATGGGAGCATACTGCTTGAAGGAGCAAACATTATGGCCAATTAATACTACCATAAGCCGTTTTCATAATTTTATTTCAAGTACTTTCAGTCATATGTAATTCTTTGCTTAATACACAATTTCCTAACTAAAAATTGAAAGCACAGTTACCAGGGGCACTCAAACCTTTGGGTATAGTCAACCAAAGGTGCCTGTTCTCACCTTAACGACCCGAATCATCTAACGACACTAGTGATTTCCTGAGAGAAACGAATCATGGACCAGTATGTTTTGTAGACTCATACTCTTAGACCCCATTGTAAGTGCTAATCCTTCTTTTCTCCCTGGCTAGTCCAAAATGCAGCAGCTAATATTCAGAGAAGACAGCTGATTGCATGACTTTATTCCACAGAGCTGAGAAGAAAGAGTTTGGGATAAATGTGGCAAAGAAGGAATTGCAGGATTTAAATTAAATTTTTATTTTTTTAAATGGCCATATTGGTAATTAGGTTTGGTGGTTGTAGAGCCTTAGAAATGTGATATTCCATTCTTCTGTGTGGACAAGGCAACACAGGAGGAGCCAGTGCATTTAATAGCATTTATGCCATGCTCATCCTCTGTAAAAATGAACTGTGTGGTAGGCGGTATGGAAGACAGATCTGTAGTCACCAGTCTTAAAATCTGTTGTCATTTTACATAAGATGGCTCAATCAATACTAATTCAAGGTGTGAAAATAAGTTTATTTGAAAAAAGAATTATGAAACCATCTAGGTTGCATTTTACATTCATTTGTTTTAAGAGCAATAATACAATATGCTTTTAAAGTAGTTAATTATTTTTAAGACACTAAAATTTCTCTTGTTTGGGGGTTTAGTGTTTCTGTTATTATTTAGGGAGTGTGAGTCGTACCATTAAAAGACAGTCAGTCTCTTGAACTGTCAAGAGTAAAGAGCAGCTATACCGATGCAGTGGAGCCTAGTGAGTCCTCACTTACGTCCATAGAGTCTGCTCTGTGAGACTGGCTGTGAGGAAATTCAGCACTTGAGTCTTGGGTGGGCAGCAGGCTCCTCATCTTGGAGTCCAGAGTGCACTCCTGTGTGCGGAGACGCAGCTGAGCTCCGGGCTGGCCTGGGAAGCACTCCAGGCTGTTCCCACGTGCCCAGGGCCTTTGGGTCTCATATAACTGACTTTTGTTTGTAAGACAGAGTATTCTAGTAACAGTCTAGTCTGCTTTAAAGAAAAATGTGTAAGTTAATATCAAGAAAACGTTCATGTCCACCCTCAAGGTGCAGCACATACCAGATGAACAAGGGTGTGCGTCATTATCTTAACTCTGGTTTGGGTTTCACAGAGTGCGAAGGAGGCTTCTGTTTTATCATTTGCTTTTGATTTTGGAGTTGTGTTGGTTGGTTTCACGTGATAAGTCTCATCACACTTTGATTTCTGTAATTTTCATGCCCTTTTTTGTTACATGTTTTTCCATAGCCGTTCTTTGCCCCATACCTTTACACGCCAAGGTATTACCCTGGCGGTTCCCAACATCTCATCCCACGCTCATCAGTAAAAACGAGTTTGCCCAGAGATCAGAACAATGGCCTAGTAAGTATATAAAAGGGTAACTAAAATATTAATCTCATAAAAGAACATGAATAGCAGTAAAAGCTGTATTTTGTTTTTCTTTCTGGAGTAAGTAAGTACAACTTACTTTATAGTTTCAGAATCAGTATATTACTAATATAAATTGTATGTTTTCATTTCTGGTAAAGATAAATGACTAGCCATCTGAGTGACTAAATGTTGAGTTTTTACAACCAGAGATCTCTGGCTTGTAATGGATTGTTTGCTACCAAAACTTTAAAAACTAGATCTTTTGTATCTGCTAATTTCTAGTATCTTTTAAAAGGACATCTATATGGTATCTCTGTGTGTATATACATTAGCATTATGGTTTAGCAGGAAGAGGATGCAGTAAAGAAAAGTATTTCAGTCTGTGGTAGGGATTAGACAGAATAAGACTAAACATATTATTGAATATAATTGATCCAAAACAAAATACATCTGTGCCAAATATATTAGGGGTTCCTGATGATAAACCTGAAGTAACTCTAAAAAACAAATTCCCTGTTAATCTAATTTTAGTTATGTTTTGAAGTGGTGAAGGGGAATTCCAGTCACCATAGTGTTTGGTGTTATCTGTGTTATTATTTTAGCATCATGTTCCTTCATCTCTGCGTGGCTCATCCTGCTCTGTTCACCCACTCTCCTGTTTATGTTGCTAGGAAGTTATCAAGGAGGATGCTGCTGAGGGGCTTCCTTCACCCACAGACTCCTCGAGGGTAATGGAGTAGTCTCGTGGTGTGGAACACTAGTGTCTGTGGCTTCTGAGCAGTAATGGCCATCTAAACGCGACTGGCAGCCCTGCACTAACTCACTGACGGTGTGACTGGCGTGTAGAGTAGCTGAGTACTAACCGTCACAGCTCACGAGTCTGTCCATTCCAAAGCTAATGTTCCTCCTGCATTTCCCCTTCTCAGTGCTATGGGAGGGGCGTGCATTCGCCAGTAAGGAGGGCTGTTTCCAGGAGTCCTCACGAGTAGTCAGTGGTGGATGAGAATTGTTGTCATCTTGAACTGTTTCTATCAGGCCTGTACGTGGTAGGATTCATGTAGCATAGCTTTGAAAGTATCCCAAATCACCTTTGACGCCAGAGAAAGGTGTGACCTAGATGGTGTAGACCAGCACGGCTCTAGTAACTCACTCTTGCTTCTAGGTGTCTCCACTGGTGACGTCTTCCTGCAATATCACTTCTTCCTTTCTTTATTCACAAAATAAAATTTCCAAACAAATCTAGAGCTGGTTCAGCATCTAAAGAAGTTGTTTAAACCCTTTTCCCCTAAATACATTAAGATACTGATTTCTTTAAAAATTTGAACCAACAAATTGTGAAGGAAAACTAAAATAAGAACTATTCCAGACCTTATACTTAAAAATAAATGCCTGCTGGGAGGTGGTGGCACACACCTTTAATCCTAGCACTCAGGAGGCAGAGCCAGGCGGATCTGTTAGTTCAAGGACAGCCTGGGCTACAGAGCGAGATCCAGGACAGGCACCAAAACCACACAGAGAAACCCTGTCTCGAAAAACCAAAGGGGAAAAAAAAAGAAAAGAAAAGAAATGCCTGTGATGGGCAGCTATCAAATCCCACTTTAGTCAGTCAGTGTGCAGTTGTGGGGTCCAGCTCATGTTTTATGTTCAGAATATGTTATCTCAGGCAAACCTGGTCTCGCTAATCTAAAACTGTTCTAAAATGTCGTCCGCAGTGAAGAGTGCAGGCTGAAATAGTTCATCCCAAGTTTATCAAGAATGTTTAAGTTAAAACATGCATTTGAATAGGTAATATATCTTTAAACCTTAAGTTTCTTTGAGTTAATCCTATTCAGAGACAAAAAGGGAACCATTCGGTTGTTTTTATTGAGGAGCTGATGATTCTTAAGTCATTAACGTATTAGCTGAAGTGTTTGAGTGACTTCATTTATCCACCATTGACAGACATACTGAGTCACAGCAGTTCCTTTGGGTGCTTAGGGAAGCCATGGCCCATGGAGCCTCACACACTGTATGCAAAGTGACTTTTAATAAGTCAGGGAGCCTTTGCTACAGGGATTCATGTGTGTAATTCAGTTCTAGGGACTAAAATTCCTCAGTGGAGTTCTGGTGGAAATCAGGTACTGTGAAGGATCTCATCGCTTTAGAAATAGAAATGCTGAAACAGCAGCTGTCCCTGGTGCAGAAGTGTAGACAAACTACAGTTGGAATGAAAGGGCCGATAGTCGATTTTTTTCTGGGTCCAGAAAGGAGCGCATTGGACAAGGTTTGGAATGAGGTTTTCTGAGGAAGGGGAATTCTGCAGTTCCTGAGCCATGTTTAGAAACTCAGTAATGAAGGCACCTCACCTAGACCGTGTCCATGCCAGTAAGATAACACGCTTCCTGTACCCTCGGCACTAAGGTAGTTTGTAGTTGGTAGAGTGGCTAACAAATGCTCACCACAGGGTGCTTCTAAGAAATTAACAGCACAACAGTGTGTAAAATGTGTCTTATAGAAGCCTAGGAGAAGCAAGTCAGCCTTTGTTCAAAGCCCTCGAAAGTGGTGGTGGAAACTGAAGAACCTGCCTGTCATAGCCAGTGTTCCGTTTCTGTGATGTGACCGTGGCGACTCTTACAAAGGGAAACGTTTAGTTGGGGTGGCTTACATTTCAGACGGTTAGTCCGTTATCATCGTGGTGGGAAGCATGGCTGTGGTAAGCAGACATGGTGCTGGAGAAGGAGCCGAGAGTGCTACATCTGGATCGGCAGGCAGCAGGGAGGGGGAAGGGGGAGGAGGGGGGGGGAGAGAGAGAGAGACTGGGCCTGGCTTGAGCATTTGAAACCTCAAAGCCCACCCTCAGTGACACACTTCTGCCCACAGGGCCACTCCTCCTAATAGTGCCACTCCCTGGTGACCAGGCATTCACATATATGAGCCAGTGGGAGCCGTTCACAGTCATACCACCACATGGCCGAACACAGTTAGGTGCCATGGGTGCTGGCTGGATCAGCAGCCCGCGGGAGAGTAAGTGACCCCTCTGTGCTCAAGCCTGCCCAGTCCTGTCTGGGACAACACCCTGGTTGTTGGTCATGTCTGTGTGGCCAGCGTCCCCTCCATAGACTTGATGAGGAAGGCCACTCACACGTAAGCCAGGGGCTACACAAACCTTCCAGAACAAACTGTGATATTATTATGGACACAGGACAACACAGAGGAAAAATGAGGCCAAAAAGTTACCCAAGTATGGTCTTTGCAAAATATAGGTGAGCTCATCTGTTTTTACCTCAGGAAATTTCTGATAAACCAAATATTTGTGAAAATAATAAGTTTTCTCATATTAACATTTCAGAGATTATAGTCTACAAAGTCCAGTTAAAGGTTAGCAGGTAAATTATAGATAAATATTTGAGTGTTTCACAAAGTAGGGGCTAGAAATATAACCCCTGTGGTAGTTTTGGCCCCTGTAATTTTATGGCTGAGAAAATAATGCATGCCAGATCTTGTGAAAGTGAAGATAATGTTAGACCTGAGATGTGCTCCCAGAGCATTGGAGCTGGAAAGAACTAGTATGTCCTCATCGAAGGCAGAGAAATCCTTTTTTGTAATTGAAGCTCTAATTAATACTTCATTTCGTAAAAGCAGGGAGAGCAGCCCCTGGGCCGTTCTGGGCCCCCCTTTCCTTCTGAGGCTCCTCTAGGCACAGCTGGTGTCTTGGGGTCTGGTTTAGCCTCCATGGCCCAAGTGAAGTGTGTGGGGCTCACACCAGGTATGTAAGGAGCCAGAATGCACCTAGGCCCTACTTCCTGCCTTGCCCATTCCCACTGAGTATGAACAGGGCTGCAGCCTTTGGTTGATGGATCTGTGCTGCTCTCCTGCCTGGCCTTACACAAGCTGTCCCAGTTCTGTGCTGGACAGTCTGGAGAAGGCAGACCAGTCTCTTTGGTCTGATTTGGGTGTACTAAATACTAGCATATTTAAGTACATTATTATTTACTAAAAATACCCCAGAGCCGTAAAGACTCAGAACTCAAACTACTTCAAGTTAGCTGATTGTTGGCTGTGTGTGTACATCAGCAGCCAGTGTAGATTAGCCCAGGTGTTCTATTTACTGATGTTTCTTGTGTGCAAGAGGCATCGTTTAGAGGAGTTTTGAGGTTGAGAATATGATCATGCGTCTCTTAAGGACAGGAGTGTGACCTGGGAATCACACTTTAGGTAGTCCTATGAACATGGAATGCATTCACACAGACTAAGGCAGCTACGCCATCACTAGATGGAGTATTATTATGGACCGCCAGTAATGTACAGTCTCAAGTTGACAGAAGGGTTGTGTGGTACATGACTAGGTTTGGGAATCTGAAGTTTTTTTGGAAGATTTCACTTGGTGCCTTTATCTTCTTTGAGTGGAGTTCTCACCAAGGTATCTGTTGGCCTCAACACAGATTTGCACTGCATGGCTCCATGTAGATGTGAGTTGCTTTGAGAAAAAAGATTTACATAAATCACAAAACACCCTTACAAACTACATAGTCTAGACATACTGAAAAGTAAGGAAAAATTGGGTTTGTCATTAATGCATAAAATGTATAATAAAAGTATTTAGTACCTCAATATATAAAAATCGATTCTAAATAATTAAAACTTATCCAAGTTTATGAACACAAAGACAGTGCATGGCACACTCATGGTGAGAGAAGTGTAAATACACTTGAGGTGCATTGTGGGTCCTAACTGACTGCTGTGGCCGTCTCCTGCTGCTGTCACGAGAAGCCTGAGTGTTGCAAGAGTCAGCTGGAAATGCTGTGGGAGTGTGGGCGTCTGTCTCTCCAGGGAACTGCACACCAGTGTAGCAGGATACCTTCAGTGTAATACTTGTAGCGTGCAAAATGACCGACTGCTCACAGGGAGGCCTGTGTTCAGAAGCTAGCTGCTAGCAAGAGTTTAGGGAGCCAAAGGCTCTCCCCAGATTGGTGACTCTTCAGGGGTTGGCACACTCACCACACCGCTCAGGAGCCAACTGTAGTGGCGTGGTGAGGCTTCTGTTGCCCTCGTGGAAGGAAGGGCTTCTTAGGGAGGGCCTGTCTTGGGCTAGGTCTCCTGGGTGACATTCTGTTAGTGATCCAGACCTGCTCTAGAGAGCAGCTTACAATTTGCTGCGCCTGGTGAGAACTACATGTCATTGGCAGACATTTTTCCCCAAAGGAAGGAATACCATGGCATTTCTTCTTCCTCCTCCTCCTCCTCTTCCTTACCGTATTAGCATTGTATACTGCTGGCTGATACTGAGTGCGAATTCATTGTCCCATCATATACTTACTGAGCATGTGAAGGCCCTATCTGGTGGGATAGTGCAGAAGATAAAAATGAACGGCATCCTGCCCTCACAGCCAGTGGGTTCCCAGGCCACCAAGGGATTACCAGTGTTTACCTTTCTTGGTCTCTGGGAGATCACTTCTATACATTGTTGAAAAACATAACAGATTTAGTATCAAGTTTAATTGCAAGAAATTTCAGAATTACATAGACAACATTAAAATAATTTCACAATTTCCAGTGTGTTCTTCCTGTTATGTTTAGAGATTGAAGATAGCTGTTGATTTAATAACAGCATTACAAATAAATGTCAGAGCTTTTGCTACGTAGGCTCCAGCTCATGATGTAAAGTGTGAAAAGGGTGATTCCTGTAGGTACTTCATTTCCACCACCGCTGTAGAGCTTGCGAATTGTGTTCAAGGCAACTATGTCCAAACCAAGCTGTCTCTTGTTTGCTCAGGAGAAGAGCTGGATGAAAAAGCCGCAGATGCCGGTAAGGAGTTGGGCACTGTAGGTGTTCTTTAGACTGTGTGTGCCACAGGTGCCCACCACCCTCAGAGACTGTGTGTGCCACAGGTGCCCACCACCCTCAGAGACTGTGTGTGTTAATTTTTTTTCTCTGAATTTCAAGTAAATGGAGTGAAATATTTTTGTGGATGACACTATAGTAATGTTGAAGTCCCAGGTATAGTTAAAAAGTTAAAAAGCAGGGGCCGAAGGGACGAGTCAGTGGTGGAGAGGACTGACTGCTCCTCTGGAGGACCCAGGTTGAGGGCCAGCCGGCACCACACAGCTGTTCACCTCCCATACAGGACTCCAGTCTCAGGGGACTCGCCACCCTCTTCTGGCCTCCATGGGCACTGCATGCATATGATACTCATACACATGAAAACAAATAAAAGTTAAAATATTTCTTAAAGTTAAAAAGCAGACAAACATGTTAGTACTTGTTTATTTTCTTCTTTTTATTTCAAGAGTCTCCTTAAACTGTAGTGTTAAGCGCCATCTGTCATCTTTGACAGAGTTCTTTCTTCAGCCGTGTGAAGAGTAAGCTACATAGTGATCGTAATAACACAGGAGGAGGAAGAGCTAATGAACAGTTTCGGCCTCTCGTTTGGGGTCATCTTACAGTAAACCCTCATTTCACTGCGCTTGTCTGGTCCCTGTGCACATCCCTATGGAGAGGTGGACATATAGTCACCTTCTCGAAGCTTATTTGTAGTAAGTCTGATGATAAAAAGAAGAGGTCCCCCGTGGACTCCAGATACTGACTGGTTCAGAGACAGGTGTCTGCGGTGAGGCCGGCAGGGCCTCCTCCTGGTCACCAAAACGGCACGGCCAGTCGGCTTTGTTGACGTTTGTCAGTCATCTGAGTTATCTGAGTTCATAAGAATAATTAGCAACAGTGTTTGCTTTCTTTGAAATCGAGTTCCTAGAATTATACAGTATACCAAAGAATGGGCTTTTTTCCCCTTTTTACATGTCTGATTTGTTGAGCTATAAGTTTCAAGACATTTCTTTCTTTCTTTCTTTTCTTTTTTCTTTCTTTTTTTTTTTTTTTTTGGTTTTTCGAGACAGGGTTTCTCTGCATAGCTTTGTGCCTTTCCTGGAGCTCACTTGGTAGCCCAGGCTGGCCTCGAACTCACAGAGATCCGCCTGGCTCAGCCTCCCGAGTGCTGGGATTAAAGGCGTGTGCCACCACTGCCCGGCGGAAGACATTTCTTTTGAACAAGCAATTGAGGCTTCTGTTAGGATCAACATAGTCACTGAAGCAACACTTATATTTAATGCTATATTTCTGAATAATAACTGTCCTTCAAGGTAGTCTAAATAATTAAGCCTTATAAATGTTTTGACAATTTTAAGTTTATATATTGGAAGAATATTGGCTTTTCATGGAAAAATGTGATTTACCTAGTTTTCTTGTTGAATGTGTGATGCATGATTTATTCTTTTAATGGAAAAAAATAAGTTTTAAGAGTGCAATTTAAAATTTTCTAAGTATCTACTAATGAAGTAAAACTGTTTTTTTTTTTATATGTTTCTTGCTCAGTGTTGCTGATAAAAAGTTTGTTCAGAGTTGAGGGGAATAAGAGGCTTGGCAAGGGCTCTGTTTGTGTGTGATACATGTGCTTTGATGATTTATTTCACATTCATGGCCTTCACTCTGTTTTATTCCTTCCTTAAAGCCGTGTGACTCTGGGTTTAACAAACAAAGACAGGTACAGAAACTCCTGGTGAAATCTCACTCCTTTCGTAGACTGGTAGATGGTCATCAGCTGCGTCGTGCTGGGCTGTTGAGAGATCTGTGCTCCTTCTGTGTCTTGGGTTCCTGTCTGTAGCTGCTTTCAGCCTCTGCATGGCAGGCATTGCTGACTAATCCGTTTCCAGCTTATCTAATCAATGGACTGAAGCTGTGATAGTTCAGAGTGCACTGGAAATCTGCTGACACCAGAAAGCAAGGCCACCACCTCAAGTCACTGGGGTTTTCAGAGCTTTGCTTTGAACTGGAGAAATTCTGATTTAAACACATTTTCAAGCTTCTAATAGTTTAAACAAGCTAATGTGTGCTGCACTGAGTTTTCCAAGTAAGAAAGATGATAAATAAATTTCGATTTAGAAAACCAGTCTACCAAATTGATGTGTTCTGATTACACAGGTGGATTTCCGATGAGAATGCACCATCAGTGTTGAACCAGCATTTGGACTCGTCCTTTCCTCTCAGGCTTAGTGTCCAGTAAGAATTTAGCAACTGGGGCTGGAGAGATGGCTCAGCCGTTAAAGGCTAGGTTCACAACCAAAACTATAAGAATTTAGCAACTTAATAAATTTCTCATATTCCTCTTTTATGATATTTCCATTCAAAATTTATTATTTTGGTTATAAAAGTCATTTGATTTAAAAGTAATTTCACTATACATTATTACTTTAGAAAAGACTTGGAAAGTGATTAACGTTTCTCCTTCATTCAAAGAAACTATTTCAACACATAGGGTTTTCAAATTAATAACTTATCATTTGATAAAGACCAACTTAGAAACAGGAGTTAGACGTGATCTTAACTCCTCCATTGAGGTGGCCTCTGCTAGGTGTCAATACTTTATAGCTTTCTTTTTCCTAACTAGTAAACTTTGCCGTGTCCTGTTCAACTTGCTTGGCTTTTGTCCATTAATTGATGACCATCGATAGAGTTGATAACATAGCTACTGTAGCAATGGTGGTTGCCTGGTGGGGATTTTCTGTTTCTCTCTACCACGTTTATTAATTGGAATTCTATGAGGAAAAGTATCTCTTCCTCTTAATTCACTTATTGAAGTACTAAGCTTTAAGGCTGGGAGTGGTGGCGCATACCTTTAGTCCCAGCACTTGGGTGGCAGAGGCCAGTGGTCTCTGTGAGTTCAAGGCCAGCCTGGTGTACATAGTTCCAGGACAGCCAGGGCTACATAGAGAGATCTTGTCTCAAAACAAAAACAAAAACCAGATTTAGTCTTATCAGTATGAATTTATGGTTTTTTTCCTGTGAATTATAATCTATCATAATGTATATTTTATCGATCAAATTCTACTTTTGTGATTTTTTTAGACAAAAAAGAAAGTAAACCAATATCAATATATTGAGAGCAAGGACACAAGTTAAAGGGGTGGATAACATCTAAAGATTAGTTATTCGCCAGTAAAAGAAAGTGAAAAGATGAACGAGCCTTAGACAACACACCGAGTGGAAGGAGACAGAATGGGTCCCATTTGTATAAAGTGTCTAAACAGACGCTTCAAACCCAGAGGTGGAAACCAGCTGGTTGGTGGTCAGGGGCTAAGGTGTGTTGAAGGGGGTGACTGCTAATGGAACAGGAGTTTCTTTTGAAGGTGATAGCTCACAAACTGTGTAAACAAAGGTAGCCATCAGATTGTACATTTAATGTGGGAGTTCCATGGCATGTGAAGAGGAAGCCAGCATGGTACTGAACATTCACCTAGTAGATAGTGCATAGTGAACACTGAACACGGCCTGACTTACTAGGCAAAGAAGAGAGCTGTGTGCAGAGATAGGAAAATCGAAGTATGAAAAAACTCGTCTGTTGCTGTTAATATTTTAAAAGTAGTGCAACTCTGGACCATGTAAGACATGGTACATTTTATAGTTAAATAAAAGCGAACTATATTGATGCAGTTTGTTCCGGGTCATCTGTTTCTAAGTTTTGATGTACCTATGCTGCTTTTGTGAGCTAGCTAGAGTCCCTGACTCATGAAGTCGCTGCTCCTGCTGTCTGAGTAACACAGTTCCATCTGCCATACACATGCATGTGCACACATGCACGCACGCATGCATGCACGCACTCGCACACAGTGTATGGTCATGCATTTCTCAGGTAGTACAACTATTATGTTTTCACATTACAAATAAGGTTTACCTGTACCTAACAGGCATTTTTAGACTATAGGACAGTCTACTGCTTCTTGGCACGGGTAAGAGTCAGTAGAACATATTTGACACATTTATATACCTTCCCCCTGGCTGTCCCGGAACTTGCTACATAGGTCAGGCTGGCTTTGAACTTAGGGAGATCTGTCTGCCTCTGCTTCCTGAGAGCGGGGATTAAAGGTGTGTGTCACCACTGCCAGCCAAACTTATATTCTTTAAGGAGAAGGTTATGTTGAAGGGCAAACAGGGCAGACTAGAACGCCACTGTCTCTACTGCATTTCCTCTATCATTGTGGCTGTAGCTTCCAGAACCTTTTTAGAAATAGTCGGAGCAGAGAAAACAGTACATTTATATAAAATCTGACCAGCTGCACTTTGGTCTGAGCCTACTCCTCCCTAGATACTCCTTCTGGAAGCCCGACCACTAAGGCAGTGAGTGCATAGAGTGTTTTTAAGGTTACTTAATTGTTTGATACAGGCACTGGGAAATTATTCTTAGATGTGTCTTTTGTATTCTATAAGTGTCTGTAATTTTCTTCTTTTTTTCTTAAGTTCTCTCCCTCTTGTTGAAGGCAGTTCTCTCTCTTCTTAATCATTTGAAGACTTGATGGAGGCCTGGTATACAGGACGACCATCTTAGAAAAGTGTTTTGGGTCAGGCTGTCTCCTGTAATAAATGCTACTCATTACACGTCACATTAGCTGAGTCTATTTATTAAGGGCATTTTCTTAAATCTTATGTGCATTGGCTGTGTTTTCTTTATTTCAGCAATAACGTAATGAACTTTTCTGTCACGTGACCTCATACACTCCATATTAATGCTACTCACACGTGTGTTCCCTTTGGCTCACCTAGGGACCAGCCTCCACTGCATGTACAGCACTGTTACTGAGCTCCATGACCGTGGATGTCGTTTCTGAGAAACTGAGACAAATCGAAGGCCTGGACCAGAGCATGCTGCCTCAGTACTGCGCAACAATCAAAAAGGTGACGTGTGTGTCTGCATCTTACCTAGAGAGCAGACTGAGAGAGTGGACGGCAGGCCAGGTGCCGGGCAGCATGGCTTTACCCCAGCCCCGCAATGCACACCTCCGAGTGAGATGGGGATCCTACAATTGCTCGTTTTCCTAGCTTTCTAAGTAGATTAAAGAAAGAGAGCCGAGGGCAGTGCTCCTCCTTCACACGTGGTCTACTGTGAGTGAAAATAAAACGACACGTTATAAAATACAAGAGCTCCTTCACCGCGGAGCAGAGAACATGGTGAGGCTACTTGGCACTCCCACTACCTTCCACGCACAGGCTGCATCTCTAATGGAAAGCTCTGGAAAGTTTCTGAGCAGGGGATGAGGCTAAGTCCGATATCAGAGCCTGTCGCATGTTGAACTTTGTGCTGGATGCTCAGTGAGCACAGTCCAAATGACTATCCCTCCCTGAGTGGGAGTCGCTACACTCGGAAGCAGTGTTAGTGCCCCGCATCCTGGGAAGGATACCTGGCCTGCAGTGTGTGTTGGTGTGACCTCATAGTGATGGCAGAGTACAGTTCATTTCCTACAAAAGGTCATTTTTGTGTCCTGTAAGATTTTTGATTGTGTTGTGTTTGAAGAACCACATGGGGTTGGGCTTGCAAGGCTGTGCATTCATGAAGGATTTTCCTCCACGTCTTATAGCTCCAGAGTCACCCTGAAGCTGAACAGTTATGCCTGGAGGTTCAGGGAAGACATTGCCTATACAAGACAGCGAGCCTCTGCTGCTAATGCCCTTTAAAGAATTGCATGCATTTCTATATACCATGTAACGAATCATAGCCTGCATGTGGTCAGAAAGAGTTCGGCACATGTCCATCTTCTTACAGAGCTAATCCATGCCTGTCCCTGTCCGTTTGAGTCAGTACCTCCTTCCCAGGCACAAACCCTGCTGCAGGCACGTGGTTAGTTTCAGGGAAGTCTGCTCTCGGTCTGCCATGGACAGGCTCTGTATGCTTATTCCTTTGGAATTAACCTAGAAATGGAGCATTTTACCAAGCCTTAATGTAAATACTACCTCATTTTACCAGTTAGTAGTCAGGCTTTTTTTTTTTCTTTATGAAATCAGAAGACCATCCTCAAAATATGCTAGTGTTTCTCATTTAAATGCAGCTTGAATGACAGGGTCCTACAAAATTGAACGCCTATTTTATCCTAAGTCTAGTAGACTGGGAAGTTAGTATCTGGACATTCTTTATCCATTGCAAGTGGTGAGTCGGCTCATTAGACACACAACCTTCATTTAGGCTTGTGGGCAACTGACACACTCACAAGATAGAAATCCTTTTCCCTCCCAGCTTCCACCCATGTTCATAGTCATAGTTTCTCAGATTTGAAAAGCAAAATTAATGGTTTTGTTGCTACCCAGGACAGAGCAGGTGGAAACATGTGAGAGGCTGGTTGGTCCTGAAGTGTGCTTTGTTTCACTGAAATGCTTGACACTAAGAAAAGGTCCGGTGGTCTGTGTGGCTGAGGAGCAGCTCACTGTACTGCGTGGAGAGGGACCGCTGCTCTGAGTGCAGCCTCTCCGCAGCCGACTGGAAATCAGCAGGAACGCAGAACACCTGAACATCTTGTTTCTGTTTTCACTCAGGCAAACATAAATGGCCGGGTATTGGCTCAGTGCAGTGTTGACGAGCTGAAGAAAGAGATGAATATGAACTTCGGAGACTGGCATCTTTTCAGAAGCATGGTGAGGTTTTACAGCAGTTATCACACGTGACATTTTACTATACTGTGTAAAGTTGTCTGCAACACTGAACAGACCCAGAACTAAGAAGTACTGGTCCAAACTGATTATTTGCATTGTGTATGTGTAACTTTTTTCTTTTTCAGTCTTACACTTGTATTCCACCCAGTGTTATGGGGACTAGTCATAGCAGCATGTGGGATCTTGTCCTTTCTGAAGAAGCAGCAGCGATTCACCAGTTTTCCATGCTTTCTCCTTGACCAGTTCCAGGCGGGGCACTCTGAGCCCTGCAGGTCTCAGCCTTCACTGTCTGCCCTTGTCTATTGCTCTGTATTAGCAGCAGTGCACGTGAGCCCCTTTAGAACGAGCCCTACCTTCAGGGTAAGGTCACCCTTGGTGCTCCTCAGGGTCCATGTTGTCCCTCAGCTACTTCCAGCTGAGGTCTGATCACCCTGACTTGTCTTGACGAATTTTGTCAAATTGGCTTACCCAGAATCCCTTGGAAACTAACCTTCCCCATCTCACACTCACTGGCTCTGTGCACCCACTCGTGGCTGGCTTTGGAGCAGAGTATTTCTAGACTGAGGTCAGCGACCTGTTGTGGTAGATCTTGTTGCTTTCTACTCCAGCTCTGGTTTTTTTTTGATGCACTCCAGTTGAATTTTGTGTTTTCTTAAGTTTTAAAATTTGTAAACTAAAATGCTGAGGCTTCTTTGAACATTACTAATAGGATTGAGGTAAGGTTTGGAAGAAAGGACGTCATAGTGGGTGTGTGCTCTCTTGACCCTGTTGTGAGAACTTGGCCATGCTTTTCTTCAGCTCTCCGAAGCCTCTCTAATGCGGTTTGACAGTGCAGATGACATTCCTCTTTTGTTCAGGTCTTGGAAATGAGAAATGTGGAAAACCAGGTGGTCCCTGAAGACCCTCGTTTTCTCAATGAAAATTCCAGCGCCCCGGTCCCTCACGGGGAATCTGCTCGCCGTGCTTCTCACAGTGAACTGCCTCACACAGAGCTCTCCAGCCAGACTCCCTACACCCTGAACTTCAGCTTTGAAGAGCTGAACACACTGGGCCTAGAGGAGGGAGCCCCACGGCACAGTAACCTGAGTTGGCAGGTATTTATTTTATGTCATTTTTCATGTGCTTGGAGAGTAAATGCAAATATGCTGGGACATTGAAATGCTCGTTCAGTGAGTCCTGATTGAGAACCCAGCTGGCAAGAGGAAGGGCCATCTCCTGAAGGACCTGGGTTTACTCACTGGAGGGGAAGAACTGGTAGAGCACAGGGGAAGTGAGGTCATTCAGAAATTGACAAAAATGGTGATAACTCAGTCACAGACAACGGTGGCAGCGGAGTGGAGGGGGCCGGGTGTGGCGGCCACGACTTTAATCCAGCCCTCAGGAGGAAGAGGCAGGGGGATCTCGGTGAGTTTGAGGCCAGCCTAGTCTACATAGGTGAGACTGGGGCGGGCTGTATTAGGGTGGCTGCAAATCTGCTTTTCCTTGGGTATTTTCCTGTGAGATTCAGTGTGGGAAACTAGCATCTGCCTACCCGCTGAAGCCTTGGGTCTGGTTTCCCTTTGCACACAGGAACACTACATACCACACTTGGGGGGGACCAGCCCCCCACTTATTTACCCAGAGACTCTAGAGGAACGAGGGATAAGAGACTTAGTTAGAAATAGAGGGGAGAGAAACAGAAAACACAGGACAGACTCGGGAGAGCCTGGATCCTTAGCCACCGGCCCTGAACTTTATCCCAAAGGTCTGTTTATAACAATGCCAAGGGGTGGAGCAAAAGGCCTCCCCCTTGCTAGTTACAAAACACCTGCACTCAGGCCCGTGGTCCAATCATCCTCTGCATGCAGACCTGCTGGGTAAAGCCGAGAGGACCCTGAAAATGGGCTCCCACAACACTCAGGTTGCTCAGGCTGGGCTCCAGCGATTCTCCTGCCTCAGCATCTTGAGTGCTGGAACCACAGGCCTGCACCACCGTGTGGTTCCACACACATGTTCTCTGTGGGTAGTTCTTAGCCAGGTGCAGGCATCAGCAGCAGGAGTACCCGTGAGTCATGTGCGAAGGATGAGGAGGAATAAGAAGAAAATAAACCAGCCCAGGGCACAGTGGGAGAGCGAAGCCAGGAGTGCGCGGGAAGCTGTACAGAGCAGTGCTGGCAGGGCCCCCGTGAGCGCTTCCTGTGGTAGTGACAGCGTCTTTAGTTGTTCTCCATACAGTCCACAGTAGGTGGAGAAGCTGAGGGTTCTTACTGTGTTATTATCGAATACTGACTAATACAGTTACTTTGCAATGAGCCAAGTTCACCCTTGGTCCCTGGGTCTCTCTTCTGACAGAAGCACTTCCTGTCCTTCCCAGCTTTCCGAGGAGCTGCCCTTCTGGCCCCCCCACTGTTGAGGCGCCTCGGCCTGTGTCCCCCCCCCCCCATTAGCACAGTAGTTCCACACCTCCTTGTTCTTAGCCTTTGTTCTCTTAGAAGTTCAGGACCTGGGGCTGGCCACATGGCTAGCAGGTAAAGATGCTTGCCTTATCCTGATGACCTGAGTTGGACCCCTGGGACCCATGTGATGGAAGAAGGACCCACCTTCTCACCTCCTCTCACCTCCACACACATCCCCAGAGCTGTACATACACACACACACACACACACACACACACACACACACACACACA